AGAGAGAAATATAATCAATTTAGAATGCATGACTGCATGTAAATATTTATATGTTATGTATAAATAAGATCGGAGAAAATATTATAAGGTATAAAGTCCACCTACAGCAGTATTTATACCTATATAGATTTGTGTATTTGTATATTGAAGTTTGAAAAGAAATCCATATGTTTTGCGATCATTAATTAAATAAATGTATATTATTTATGCATATCAATGTCTGTCTGAGATCTAGATTCCATATTAAGAACTCAGACTGAAAGTATATAATTAAGTAATTTAAAATTATTAGTTACAAAAACAATAAAATGAAACTAATAATAGAATCTTCAGCAAAATTGCTTCTTTACACACTTTACATTCAGATTTTTGTTTTTATAGGATAAATTAGTATAATATTATAAAAATAAAATTATAATATTAACAATTTAAGATTTATCCCGATTCATGATTCATCATTCAAAGCTAATGAGTTGTACCTAAGAAACATCTAGATCAGCTCAGCAAAACGCATCATAATCAATACATTAGTTTAGAAGTTGCTATTCCAGTCGGACATAGACACAGATACGAGTAACACAGTCACGTCAAACTTATAACATTATTTTTTTCACCGGGTTCACAAACACTCATCTCATAACACAACGCATACGAAAATAAAAAGTTTACTTGTTTATTACCTGATTAAAACTCTCAAATGTTTTTATCAAGTAATCATGTTTCAATGATAAAATGTCAACATTTTTTACTTTTACCACAAAAAAAGTAATAAAAAGCCGGTCTCATCTGTAATAGAGCGCGGCAAATGTGTTATTAAGGGTTGCCAACCTTAAAAACAAAGAGCTTCGCACGAAGAAATAAAAGATATCATAAAATCTCGTATATCAGCTCAATTTGGCTCTCTAACCTCGTATTATTTTGATAAATTTACGTAGTTCAAAATTTCGTACAAACTTGTATGAGGATGAAAAAAGCCTCGTGTCAAACGCCAAATCTCGTATTCGTACTAACATCATCGTACGGTTGACACCCCTGTTGTTATCTAAATGTTTTGTCATGCTTTCGCCTGGACGTGACCATTGCATTTATTGGTGTATTGTCGCCGTTGATCTCAACCGATTGCCGAAGTTAATTAGATATTGGATTTAGAGAGTCTGTTGATGAATACATTCTGTTAGAGTCAATAAATATTGTTTATTGAACCTCAATTTTACGAATTCCACATATTTTTAAATTGACTCATTGCCTGTGGTTAAAAATTTTACATCATAAAAAGTCAATTTATAAAATTGTACCAATCTTCTTTGCAAACTATAAAATAAAGTTGCTGCGCCGTTTTCTGTACACTTAGATCTTCTAAACTACACAACCGATTTTAATAGAGCGTTCAGGAATAGGTAGAGTTCTTCAAGAGGTAGGTTTATTTGAATAATACATGAATATTATAGTACAGAAAGGTCGAATATATTCAAAGATTTGTAATGCACCCGTGCGAAGTCAGGGCGAGTAACTAGTTGTAATTATATAAGAAGTATAAGAATGGGAAAGTGGTAAAGATGTTCCTCAGTTATAACTAAATAACAAAATGATCACAATTTATTTCTTTCCACATAGGTACTATTGCGTGTTCCTCTAAAAGCGTTTTATTTGCGAAATATAAGTGATAATTGAATTTTAAACGCAACTCTATGATTGTATATATCAGTAAATAAATTACAATAAGTGCAAATATCTCAGGCAAATGTAGGTTCTTTGGATTAGTATTTTTAATGGTTTTTATTTAAATTTATTAGTGTAATCTGTACTTTAATAGTATTTATATTTTCATATATATTTTTTTATTATTAATATTTATAATTTTACTATTATTGTGCAATTTGTGTTTCTTTTAACTAATATTATCTTTAAGAAAATTGTAGTACTAACAAAATTGGCAAAAAACGTAACATGATAAAAAGGGATTTCTTCGTAGTACTTCTTCGTAACTGACTCAAAAACACACTACTTATTTATATTCATAAAATAAATCCAATTATATAACCCACAATATACTACTAGATAAATACTAGCGACTTACCCCGTTTTCATACGGCTGGAATTATTGAAAAGATTACAATTCATTTTAATATAAAATACTGCCAATTTTATTGGTAATAAAAAAAACATAACTTTCATGTATTTTTTTGGGCTTAAAGTAAAATAATGCGTCTTTACAATAACCATGTAAATAAATAATTCTAAATTGTAGAGGCAAAAAAAATATATACTATAAAAGTGTCTATGCGTTGAATACCCAACTGCTTAAGAATAGATATATATAGTAGGATGTAGATGTACCTACTCTAAGTCAAAAAGAGTCATTAACATAGACGTTTACCTCAAGAATTAACTTAAAATTGCAAAGGCTAAATACAAAGACAAACGCATCGATTGTTTCTACTCAAGCATGTAAAATAGACTCTATTTCACAATATGAGACTTACTGTAGTAAGAACAAAGTCTAAAATAGTATTTTACTAAACAGTTTGATGGTACGAGATGTATAGGAATCGAAGGAAATCCACAAGGGCCCCACTATCAAACGTATTGAAGGTTAAACTTGTACCAGTGATAAGTTACAAGGTTTGATCACTTAGCATTTTTATTTCTACCATAAACTCAACAGAAAACATACTTGACGTCGTTCTAGTATACATTTTTTTCTGTTGTTGTTGTCATAATGAAAAAGAGATATAAATCTGTTAGAATAAAATTGAGTAATTTTGTTTCCACATCTAGTTCGACAGTTCATTTCGTATGCCTGCGTATACAGAACTTTAGTTATATAAAAACGTTATCCCGCATCCCCTATTTTACGCCATTATTATTTCCTTATGAATTATTTTCATTACTTTTTTGTTTTCCTTAATTTATTATATTATTGATATATATCTATTATAATGTATGTGTAAATAAATATATAGCTTTGTGAAGATTTTTAGTAATGGGGACTAATGACCCCTGTTGGGAATAAAACTTTTGTTTGTTTCTGAGTTTTGTAAAAATGATTAATTATAAAAAGTAATAAAATGTGTACAAGAAATGTAGTATTGGAAATAACCCAGTGTGTTCTATACTATTACAGAAATCATCATCTGCTTCTTCCTTAGCCCATTTATTTGGGGTCGGCGTAATATGTTTTCGCTTCCATTCATCCCTGTTCGCAGTCATCGCGTTATTTACTTCCTTTCTTACCATATCATCTTTCACACAGTCCATCCCTCTATTTTTCGGCCTTCCTCTGCCCTTATAACCATCCACATTCATATCTAACACCTTTCTTAAAATATTATCCTCGTTCCTACGCATTACATTATATTACAGAAAGATGGCCAAAATTGTTATGCGTTTTTTTATTCGTATTCGGTATTTGGGCAAATAGTTTGCTACAAAAATCGAATGTTTAAAAAAGTAGCCGAGTAGGCCGAATATTGAATAGAGCCCGATATTCGTGGCTAATATTCAACTCTAATATAGACGACGTTCATCACTTTTCATTGATGGTTTACCATTCCAGTTACATAAAAAAGCTACGTAAATTAACATATCTATTGGATTTTCGTAACTTGTAACATTTGTAAGCTGGGGTCGGCCGGGTCTTAGTAACCGGTCGGATGGGGCGTCATAATCCGTACCTACATTGTAACACCGTTTAGTAATTAGTGATCGTTAGTGAGCATGGTGAGAGGTAACCTGACATTGCACAAAACAGTTGAGTCACATTTGTTTGAAGATATTGTACCAGTGCGTTAATTGACATAATTGAAATACATACAAACATGAATTTATGTAGGTCTTCCATTCAATTCTATATATGTAATAATAAGTACCTATATGTACGTACTATTTTCTGTCCGTAAGTTATTGACTATCAATATAGTGAGTAACACTAACCGGTGGTTGATAATTTGTTCTAATAATATTGCCAGTGAATCACTATATACATTGAGTCACATAGAAAATTGAAAAACAATTCCTTCACATTTGAGGAGCAAAGTCGTTATAAACAATGTAACTGTCGAAGTTTTATCTGTGTACCTATTTACTAAAATTAAAGTAACACTTGGCATTTATATTATTATATCTATCTTTAACAGTAACTATTATTATTTCTATTATTAGGTTTTGAACACTATCACTGATATATATTTTATTCCTCCAATCATATATTACGAAATCCTATGTCCATAGAATTTCGTAATATATATATATTTTAGTTTTGTAGTATAGTTTCTTTTTCATCCGAGAAGGATATATTGTATTACTTTTACGCTAATTATTTTATTAAATAAACAGATAAATAATTACTTAATAGATAAAAAACGATCCAGTTCTTTTCACGTGTTATTCAATAAAGCTATCAGCTTTAGTATCTAGGCCAAGAGTGTCGAATACTCAGTTACCTACATTCCTAATTACTCGTACGGTATATATTAAGTTGGATGTAATTGACTTACCGTCGTTATAAATTGTATTTTATATCGACAGACTACCCCGTATATATAAACGGAGGGGGACAAACAAAATCTCAGTCGATGAATGAATGCCCTTGCACTCAACTATGCACAATAGTTCTGCAACGGTTTTTAACATCTGCCTGTGAACACTAGGACGATGGAGACCAAAGTCGTGCCATTATTATGTATTATTTGCTACCAGATTACACAGCATTGAAAACTGGTCATTTTTTGTAGAGTATTTATTTTTATCTTTTTTCATTATCGAATTGAATATTACTATAAATCATTGGAACGCAAATTCCCATGACGATAGAAAAAAATAAATGTAGGTACAAATAATGACCTCAGTAGCCGTGGTGGTCACGCACCGTCACCTTCCAAATAGTCTTTATAATGGACCAAGAAATTACGTCATTTGTCTAGTGATCATTAAACTCATAGTGTTAGGTACGCTTTTGTTCCCACAAGTCATTTACCTATCAATGTATTGTTCTTTTCCAGGATGTCGAACTTCCAACGAACACGCAGCAAAGTTTGGTGGGAGGACTCACAACCTAATGTCGGCAATATTGGCAGTCCAGTTGCACAACCTGCATGGAAACAAAACAATAGATTGGAGGAACAGGAGTGGGAACCGCAGCTACCTCACTGGATAGCCAATCAGCCCGAGCAACAAAGGAACAATAGTACAGATAACATTGCGCAGCCAAACAATGCACAGATAAACCAATGGCCTCTACGACATGGAAGCCCCGGGAGCCATAAAAGTCAAGATTCCGGTTTCTCAGATTCTGATAGCTCTCCGCCGCCCTCGCAGTATTATCAATCTTCTGAAAAGAATGATTCCAAAAATAAGTCGTCCAGTAGTGCTGATTCAAATAACAATCAAGATGTTACGGTGAAACAAGTTATTCCAAATACGCCGCAGGGAAATGATGAAGTCGATAATGTTAAAGTGCCTATACATACTGTCACTCCCACGCCAATGCCTCGCAATAGAAGTAGCAGTGTCATACAAACGCCATACGACTTACAGAAATATTATGAAATTCACAGAGATGAGGAACACATGGAACTCTTGAAAGACAAAGACACCGATACTTCTAATACAACACAAAAATCTCCCACAATAAATAATACTAAGATTGAAAAATCTAATACCGATAAAAATTCAAAGCCCCCATTACCGAAAAGTGAAAATAGTAAAGAAAATACTAAAACAGTAAATAATGTAGAAATAATAGACACCTCACTCAACAATAGAACTAATAAAGAGAATACTCCCAATAAAAGTGCAATACATAATGATACCAAAGATGTACCAGTTAAAAATATAAGTATCATAAGTCCATCAAAAAAATATCCAGTTAAATCGTTTGTATCGAGCACTCAGAGTGACAGCACCAAATTAAGTAAAGTAGCAAAAGTAAAAGACTTAGAAACTGGTAAGAATAGATTAGATGAAAGCTTAGAGTATATAAAATTATCAGATAATAATGAAATAGCAGTTAATAATCAACCACGCGTACGAACACCTATATCTAATGTTTCGTACGTTCCAACCGAAAGAATAACTAATGCTAGAGATTTTAATAGAAGCATATCAAATGAATATAATATTCCAATCACTACTACGCCAAAATTTCAAAGAAATCGTTTGAATAAATCATTAAACTTTGAAGCACAGAGGCTAGATCAACAGATACTAGATATACAAGATGGTTATCACTCATTAGGATACATTGACGAAGATGAACCCTGCGCAGAAGAAAGTCAATATAAACTTAATGAAATCCACAAACCAACAAAAGCTATACTGGGCAAAAATATTATGGATAGTTTAAATTTAAAGCCCACTAAAAAAGCAGGTCCAAAAGCAAAACAACGCATGGGAACAAAGGCAGATAAAGGCAAAGATCTATTCAGGAAATTACCTATTTTAGGAAAGAAAGAGAAACCAACTGTTGTTGAAAAAAAAGCAGGTGGAATTTTAGATGGAAGTCGAGTACCTTCTCTGGGTTTACCAAGATCTTATGAGCAAAACTCTTGGGTCGTGGTGGGATATCCCGAAAAGGAAATGTTGATACCTCATTACAATGAAAGACTTGAGACTACAGACAGCGATAATGAAGTAAGAGGTAAAGATATTTGTCAAGATGACATCAATACATTTAAAAATAGAAGAGTGACACCACCACCGCAGTTCCAAGACAAACAAAAAACTCCATATGAAACTAACTCCAAAAATGACAAAGACTTAACACATGATTCTAAAAGAGAAAAGTTAAAAGAAGATGATCTAAATTTCGACGATGTTCAATTAAATTTAGCATGTACATCTACACCAAAAATGTTAGCTCCCCACGAGTTTTTACATGGCCTAACTCCAAAGAGCATTAAGAAAAATACTCCCAGGATAAATTTATTTGGGGACAATAAGAGCGGGTAGGTAATTTTTTAATGTTATCTAAAATATTGTTTTTAGTACTATTTTCAAGACATTAGAGAGAGAGAGATTTAAAATTTCAGAGATTGTTATTCTTTCATTAAGCGCGTATTGTTCATTGTTTAAATTAATTTACTATGTTATGAAATTTTTAACTTGACTACCGCTGATATTAAAGTTATGGTAATTTATTTCAGATTGGTATTAAATAATCAGAACGAGATATTGTATAGGGAAATGAGCATAGATCAAACAACACTAGAAAGACTCTGCGACAGAAAACCTGAACCAGTTCAGTATTGGCTTTGTGATCTAGTGGGAGCGTGTGAAAATGAGTGCATGACAACACTCCAAAGTAAACCTTTAGGTGCCGAAATGAAGGCCATGGTATCTGCTAGCTCCGCCACCATTACTGGCAATATCAAGAAAGTACAAACCCATGGGCAAATAATTGTACATCAGTACAGTGACGTCATCAGGTAAAAGCCATGTTGAATTGTAACAGTAAAACTCATTTAAATTATAGTGTAGAGGAATATATAGAATTGTGGTAAAACCAAGGATGAATAATCTCGTCAAATGTACACACAAATACTGTCTTTTCTGAGTTTATTCACTCACAACTGTCTAGTAGGAATGTAACATTCAACTGCATTATGAGTTGAATGTTACATGTAAGGGTATGATTCCAATATAAAGCGATTTTTTTATGTAACTGGAATATGAAACAATTTGACAATCCACCAGATGATAAGTGGCAAACGTCGGCTATATGTACATATAAACAAAATTTGCCACTTATACATGGACTGTATCACGGACATCACGTCAATATGTGACGCCCGTAGAATCCCTCATACATTGCCATTCCAAAAGTCTAGGTGCTAGTGGGTACCGTGCATTGTCTGTAATTTTTGTGCATATTATTTATTTCTAGATTAACATTTTCATTCGTATATTTTCAAACTCACGTATCTACAATTAAATAACAAAAATTAAACTGTAATTTTTTAAATTGCACTATCCTGCTAAACTTATCTTTAATTCAACGCTAATAAATATTTAGGTGCATTACAAACTTCCATACGAATATTTTGAAACGTTACACAACCTAAGCAAACGTGACGAGTTTATGTAAATTAGATAAAAGCATTCAGCTATTAGTGCAGCTAATAAATTAACGCATTTCATAATTGCAGGCAAATAGAATCTAATAATACGAGTGAAGAGCAAATCTGTCTACTGGTGGCCAATGTCAATGAATTTGTATTGGCACACAGTATCACCTTAAATACGAAACCCCCGGGAGAGACACCGGAGCGATGGGACAAAATAAAGAAGTCTTTAGAACTGTATCTCAGGAAGTTAATAGACATAGGAGAAGATGTTAAGTTAGAACTGAATGAGAGTAATCCTGAATGGAATTTGGTACAGAAGCATTTGGACACATTGATTGGAATATTTATGGAGACGGCTAAGGCTGTTTTGGTTCAGCAGATGAAGGTAGATTTTTTATTTTATCTTCTTCCATTGTTAATATCGCAATTAGAAGTACGATTTGATATAGCTTTAACTTTGATATATTATTTGGCATATTTCACAACAGATGAGTTGTATAATACAATAAATATAATTCATAGGTTTTTAGTACTATTTCTTTCTCACAAAAGAAACGACTTCACATCAAAATTTTAAGGGAACTTACCTTGTTCTGGATCTTTCGATAGTATTTATCATTTTTCAATTCACGTAGTATTCAAACAAAAACACAATATTCATTGTTAACATTTTTAAGTCAATGGGAAAAATATCCTCACAATGTTAACGAGCAGGCTAGCCCATTCATATTTCACTTACGAGATTATTAAGTTCAATTATATTGAATCTAGTACAGAATAATATTATGTATTATTACGTTATTTTAAAGTGTTACACATCTATATAAAATTAACAAATGCACTTTATTCACAGACTTTAGTATCCATAATCGAGGAGCCACCGTCGGACATGATCCTCAAGAGCACGCTGACCTCTATAGGACACTTGGCGATGCTAAGTGACAATACTGAGAGTTCACTCCACGAGAGATGTGCTAAAATTATGAAGAACATAACGGAGCTGCCGTTTGTAGATTGCGCGGTGCCTAGAGCTCTGCTCACTGCAATTATTGAGAGCAACAAGAGTTCTATAAAAGCGTTATCATTGAGGGCACTAGCTACTGTGTGCATTACTGCTGATGCTGTCAAGCAGTTTGAAGAGGTATGATATTTTATAGCTACAGATAAAATATTTCTATTCTATTAAAATTGTATGTATGTAATTTTGTTCTAAAAAACTTAATGACTTTTAAATGCATGTTAGGCTCTGTCAATATCACCTGCTAATTATAAAAAGATTAATGGTCAAGTTCCATCTAGCTGTCGATTTTTCATCTTGATAATAAAATTGACATTTACATGTAACTTTTACGTATGTATAGTGTACATATATTTTTATTTGTGTAATACAAATAAAAACATACATTTGTACTAGGTATATATTTATTTCGGTTTGACCAAATAATATGTATCAAGTATGTTTTTTCATGTGTTAAAAGTACCTATCCATCCACTAGTATGTATTGTAAAGATAAAGGTTTTTAAAGAACTCGTCTTTATTATAAACGTTAAATTAAAAAAAAATATATTATCTTGCAAAGGTAAAATGAAATTATTTCAATTCCAGGGCGGCGGCATAGAAATTCTATCAGATATCCTGTCGGATAGATCGAATCCAGAGCCGCAAATGCGCGAGGCGATCACGGTACTCACACAAATCACAGCGCCGTGGCTTAGAGGCCATTACGATCTCACACAGCTCCACATTTACTTGGACACTATAGTCAGCAATATTACTGGTATGTTGCGTAGAACAATATTGGTGTCACATGTCTCATATCACTAACTGATACCTGCAGTTTTGTATTTAATTTGAGATAAAAATCTATATCTATTATAACATATTGCGTTAAATCCATTCCGGAGTTAAGTCGTAAAAAGGTAACAAACGTATTACGTAAAGGTAATTTATATTATAAATGCGAAAATGTGGTTGAATGTTCAATGTTCATTCAACCACATTTTCGCATAAAATATAAAAATATGGATTTCATTACGGACACCAAGTTTTGTTAACCTTATTAGAATGTCTAGTGCCATCTATTGGAGAATAGAGTAATCATAAATTTAATAGGCATTGCCCCGCTGTAGTATATTGATGCTATAAACTTTGTGTGTGTATAATTTTATACATGTTATATCGTCCGCCTAGTTGCAGAGTAAAACTGTACTTTATTTTTTATAGATATTGACTACTTCTGAATAAGAAAAGAAAATTCTAAAATTATAATCGTAATTGTGTATATACAACGCCATCTATTAGCATATTACCTGAACACCCCATTGTATTCTAAATTTCCTCTTTACATAAAACGTACGAGCTATTTTTTTGTTTCAATGGGCAGTAGTAATATTTGGAATAATTAATTCCATAGTTGAATGGAAATAAGACCTATACTTGCAAATTTAAGATGGAATCGCCATAAGAACTCACAACCAGTGCTCAGAGCAAAAAAATAATACTACAACTTTGCTACAACCAACTTTTATTTTTAGGTATTCTGACCCGTACTGAATGCTGCCAGCTACTTCTCCTCTGCACAGCCTGTCTCGTGAATTTGGTGCGAGAGTTAGAGCTCGAGAAGAGAGAAGATGACAATGTAAACAAATCTGACATAGTGGAAGTCTTGACCAAACATCGTACTGTGGAACGAGTATTGGATGCTGTGAAGCGACGAGGACCGAATATCTCAGTATTTTTACAGGTAGGCTTCCGTTGTTTATTCGCTTAGATCTTTCAAACTACGCAACTAATTTTAATGCAGTTTTTAACAATAGATAAGAGTATTTTAAGAGGAAGGATTAGATATAATTAATTATTATAATACATAAACACCTGTGTGAAGCCGGGCAGGTAGCTAGTGTATTAAGAAAGTAACTACAATAAAGATACAGAATGAAATAGAACGACAAAACGATTATAAGGCATAGGTTTACCTATTTCAAAAACCAATGTTAAATGTATAACATAGTACTGACATATTTGTGAATATTAATACAAGCAGCAACAACTTTGTATCCCTTTTTAAAAAAATTGCTCGGACGGGGGAGTGCAGAATGCTAGCAACTTTTTTTTAATAATGCACATAAATACATTAAATAAAACATTACACACACTAGTATTTGATACACACATACATATGTCAAATTAGGAATAATTACAGATTAATATTATTAGTCTTAAACATAACCATAGACTAGTATTCGTGAAAAAAGATGATCATTAATATATCTGCCGTTTTTAATGTACAGGAGCAAACGGCTTCGTTTGTGGCATCTCTGTCTCGCATCCCACGCTGTCTGCTATCGCTGTCGCAGCTGGCGGCAGCGGCAGCGCTGGTGCGTTTCGCTAGGTGCCCACCAACCGCCGCACATCCGCCACGACTTGCCGAGCTGCGTGCACAAGCAAGACTGCACTGCCATGCCGCCGAAGCCATGGCTAGGTGAGTCCCAGTTTTTTTTACTGGTTCGGTTTTTCCCATCTCAGAGGTCAAAAGGACTCAGCCCATACAGCCGGGTCCCAGTTTTTTTTTAATAAAATGATGCACTTTTTGATTGCTCTTAAGTGTACGTGAATACTAATGATAAAAATATATTAGGAATAATGATCACACCGATACCGATTTTCAAAAATACTAAGTACTTAATGTCTAATAAAATATTTTTTTGTTTACTCCAGACTATCGGTGGTACCAGAAGTGGCCCAACAAATAGTCCAGCTAGAGGGCGTTCCGCATCTTACCCGGCTGGTTAGGATGCAGCGAACACGCCCCGGTCACCACGACGTCAACCCCGACCAGATCCTGATACATTGTCTCAAGGCGCTCAGAACTATCCACAAGTACTACCCTGAAGCCTTCGAAGGCTACCAGAAAGATGTAGACGAGATGGTTCGACCACACCTAATGGAATCCCTCATGTTATTTTCAGCTAAGCAAGAGAGCTACGTTTAAAATATATTTCTGATAATTTTTAGGAATATTCAAAAATACCAAATAATTTCGAATATTTGACTAATTCGAATGACATTTATATTTATTTCGCATATTATGCAAAAAGTAATAAAATTATTGAAAAGTGAGTATTATATAAAGACTGGACAAGATACGAATTTACGTATGTATTAAAAAAATTGACGTAGACTATATTATCATGAATTAAATTATGTTAATAAAATTAGAATATACTCTCTATATGTAAATTTATATAAAAATTTGATATACAATTATACTGTACTCTGATTGCCACTGTTTAAGAGTGCTCACATTGAAGTCTGCTAATATCCAACGATATGTCCATATATAATATATATACAATAATATGTTAGAATAACTATTTAAAATGCGCTTTTACAGCAAACTGAAACAATAATATCTTACTAACGGATTGTAATGGTAAAAAGGATAGTAATTCTAAAAGCTACGTAACAAATATAAATTAAGTTTCTGTTGGAAATCGAATCATCTACACTCACATGTGCCATATCAATTTTAGGACGCTGGAAGCGCACTTTTTAAATAAAATATTCAAAACTATTACAAATTGTTTTTTTTAATGGACAGACTTCGATAAGACCATTATTAAAAATGAACCATATTCTGTAATTATTAATTTATACATAACTACTATTTGCTATGTAAATAACTTATGTGCATAGCGTTTTTAATATTTATTATGTTTTATCTAGAATTATTGAATTTGACATTGTATAGAAGCGGCCATACTTTGACTAGTCTTCAAATTACTTTACTATGGCGACGACTATTCTATTATTTAGGTACCTATAATATGCTAGTATGACTGTAAATATATAATTAGAATGTCTACTAGTATATGTAATTTAATTTCACCATTCGACACAGGGTTGAACGCGATAGAAACCAATTTATTGATATTGATGATATTAATGAAAAATTAAAGATATAATTTTATTCATTACTAGTAGTATACTTATACTACTATTAATGAATAAAATTATATCTTTTTATTTTATAATTCTATAATTATATCTGAATCTACACTTGTAGATTCATTAACATCCATTGCCAGTTGAGAAAATTAATATTATGACATAAAATATAACGAAAAACTATTAATATTACTACGTAATTCTTTAGTTAGTTGTCAATTATTTTATCTCTCTGCATATCAAAAATAGTAATTTACATTCAAATGTAAATTCGCCATTTTATTCTCTCTTAGTTTATAAATGTTATGCTTAAATATAATCATTCTCATATTTTAAATATATGTTTCTAAGAATATATATATTTAACTGGACTACAAATTAGTCTGAATACATTTAGAATTACTTTCGTATTAAGATTAATCTGTAAAATATATACTCATCTACTTATTGCTTATTTAGGGTGTATTATCATTACCACCTTCCCTAGTTGTAAGTAATTCCTTGTATAAATATTTTAGTTATGAACATTCTATACTTTTATAAACATTGTAAAGAAATTATAATAAAGGCGGTCAGTCGCTTTATTGTTATGTTTATAAAATAAAGTATATATTCAAGATTACAATGTATTGGTTTGATTTACAACTCTCTAAATTATAGAATTACGGCACGCGTCATATAGAATAAGACGGTAAGATTCGATGTCTCGTTCTATTACAGCAAATAGCTAAATAATTTTCCACGTCGAGTTTCAGTTATATATAGAAAAACAGATCCCAGCGAGAATCTTCAAAAGAAATACAAATGTATAACTTTAGAATTTATATGTTCTAATCTACTGAATTAATTGAATTCTAATAATTGTTGCAAATGAAAACTAAATGACTATGAGATCTACGTATATGTATACGAGTACATACATAAAATACATGGCCATAAATATATTTTTCGTCTCAAGAAGTACAGATTGCAATACTTGTTTTAGGTGAAAACCCACTAACTATGATATACCTACATGCAAGTAATTTCAGTTTTAAATAGAATTGCCATATATTAAAATAAAAAGACACATTTCTAATTTTCGATATAGACCCATTGTATTTTTTCTGTCTTTGTTTCTTTGTAAATTTTACTGCAAACTTTTCATCTTGCGTTGAGACACAGTATTTTGGTCTTATGTGTCCTAGTCTATTAGTTATTATCTCCATAATATCGGCTCATTAACCCAAGCAGCCCATATCTTAGCTCTACGATGTCCACACAGGAAATATCGGCGTTCTCACGACTCACGTGCGCCCGGCGCGAGAAAACAATTGAGTGAACTCTCTAATATCACTGCTACAAATACGGTAACAATAAAACAGATTGTAGTAAAATTCATTAAAATATATTTATACATTATATAAACATTCATTAATAATACCTGTTATAGTCACTTATTAAACTTAACAAAACACGCAACATGTGTCATCCGTACGATTGTTTTACATTTTTAGAATGTACAATATCGACAGTGGTTTCGTGGCACTGTCTCAAGTCCATGTCATACATACCGAGGCAAAATTTGTTCTCGCTTGCTTTATAAAAGTCTAAACCTCTCCCAATTTTTATAATCCATCCGGAACTTAGCCTGTAATTATAATGTAACACAATGTACATATATCTTTTAAAGTGTTTATATAAAGTTGAAAATTGAATAACACTTATACAGTATGATTGATACTTTTAACTTAAAATATAGTAAACTTACTTACTTTACCTAAATTATATTAAGTAACACACTATCTTGGATCATGATTTAAAGAAAGTTTAATTGAAAGGTTTGAGTAAGTAAGTTTTAGGATTTAAAGGCAAAGAATGACCAATGAAAAGATAAATAGACAGTGTAAATGATATGCTTAATAGGAAAGTGAGTTCAGATATGATGGCTGATAGGAACCGGGATATATAAACTTCAGGAATATTTGTTTTAATACTTGGAATGGAAAACAAGCTGGTTCCACATGACTTATTTACAGATCATCATCTTATTTGCCTAATTTTTTAAACATTGTAAATAAAACTTAGTAAAGTTAATTTTTTTTATTGTGTTGTATTACATAATAATTAAAGCACTAACAATAGATATAATGATATGTAGAGCTACTCCACATAGATATTTTTTCATACGGAGTCAAAAGTATATAAAAGCATATTTTCTTAATAAGTATAATAACTTACGTGATTTGTCTGTCATGTAGGGTTTCCGAATACTTGACAATAAGATTAACTCTATATTTTAATAAGTCATTCACTAAGTAACTAAACCACTGTCTTTGATCATTCTCTGATTTGCCATCCTTTGATGTTAATAATTCTATATGTCTTAAATTTGTGCATGATCTCACCATCAACTCACATAAACGAAGGAAATTCTGACACTGGAAGCAAAATAACAAAATTATATTAATTACATTACATATAACCATATACATATATTAAAAACATATAATGTAAATTGATGAAAAAAGATGGGACAAAATATTAACCTGCCTTTTACATAGTTATCTATGTAAAAAGTAAGTTCTCTTGATTGTCAGAATTTGTCTGCATGATTGTGTCCTTGTGGACACTAATCTTGGAGTTAAACTAATTGGCATGCAGTTTTTCCTATGTACTATTACCTCAGTATATATGAAACCTTACCAGTTTCATTTTTTTTTTTTATTCCAATCAGTATACAAAATTGGAATTACATGAGTATGGAGATGTAGGCTCAGTTACGTTATAGTAATATTATAAAAAGGTAAAGTTTGTGAGGTTGTAGGAAGTAATCTCTAGATTTACTGCTCCAATTTCCTTACCTATAGAAAGCCATATTATTTGTGTCATATGACATCATGCCAATATGTGTGGAGCTTCAATTAAAAAATGTTGTGGTGTAAACAAAGTTGTGGGAGTCAGCTAGTAATATATATATTTATAGTAGTATTAGAATACAAACCTGATGATAACTCCTAATATAAGGGTCTTCAACAACAACATATTGCACCTCCTCATCAAGAAACCTACCAAATAGGGTCTTATAGCTATGCCCAGTAGAGTTATTCTCTATGTTAACCTGTTCATGAAACTGCCCAGCTTCCTTCTGCTGTAACACTAGTTTCTTTATTTTCTCTGCTCTATTCATATACTCTTCCACTTTCTTTCTCAAATAAGTTCTAATAGATTCATCATTTTCACCTAAAATTTTATTTTTTCATGTAAGACATTGCATAGTGCATCAATGCTGGATAAAGCCAGCATGGGGCCTAGAGCAGAATTCTCTGAAGAATGCCTCTGTTATGGTTTTAAGTTTTTAAAAGACATCTCTTTCAAAGGACAAATCATTTACTCACTCATCAAAAGTAAAAAATAATTATATATTAAGAAATATAATAGTAGTGTTGGTGCAATAAGATAAACACTTTTTGTAGTATTATCGTCATTTGCTAGTAGCTAATAGCTAATTCTGTACTGATGCTCATGTTTTTTTCATGCAATTCATTTTAGGGGACAGTTAAGAATAACTGATAATAAATTTTAATTGATTAATGTCACTTTCTTATATAAGTTATTTAATTATACATGTCTAACATAATGCTGATAAAAATCTTATACATGAACAAGTAGTACTAGTCATAAGCTTTGTTTAGAAGTGTCTTTTATGTATAGTTTTTAAATTTGGAGTAGTTCTGGAATATCCAATGTTATATAATGTTTAATACCAATACATATAAAAGATATATTAGGCTTTACACGATACTTAGAATATAAATACCAACTCAGCAATAAAACAACATTTACTTTAGAATCATGAGCGGTTTTTTCTGACAAATAATATTCCTAATATTTACACTTTCTAAAATTAATATTATGATTTTGTTGAGTTACCAACTTTTTATTTTGTCCACCAATATTTGTAGACCTTCCTGATAACAAACAAGAGCCTCCGTATATCGCTTCTTTGTATCCAACTCCACACCTCTTTTGATTATATTTATGGCAGCACTTTCGATATTCATTGTAACTAAAATAAAAGTAATTATTTTTGCAATTTACAATCTAATTACTATGAAAGAAAATTTTTCTTATCTTCATTTCAGTTCAATGAAGATAGAATCATAACAAAAATAAAGGATTTAACTTTATAAGCTGATAATTGACACTGACATAACAATATTGACAAAGTGATATACCGGAGACAATGGTTGTATGTGTTGATTTCATGTGCCTTTCCCGAAGACGGGAAATAACTAACCAAAAAAAGTTGAAACTGTGTAATTTTTATTTTGGTTCTGTTTATAAGGCTAAGAGAAGTATGCCCATTCAGCCATGTGTGCATGTGAAACTATGTAACTTCTTTGATACTTTACTGACACACGTCACGTCTGTCATAGAACTAGTAAACAGAAAACATGCTGAATCTGTCATAAAATCATAACATGATCATAACCTGTATTCACACATTTTCTTCTTTCTATTATAATTAAATAAAAAAGTAGTAGATATTTGCTTATTACATTAAGTATGTAGAAACATTTATTCCTCTCAAGGTTCTTTAAATATTACAGTAATGTCTCACCAATTAGGGAGATTAGTATCAGAGATTTTACATCGATACTTCGGTGAAATTGTTCAGCAAGTTGGTAAAGATCTATTTACTTATGGCAGTAAACCTATTTCTATGATTGTGAAGACTACAGGCCTCCCTCGAATTAAGGTACAGTAATCCTACTAATGTAATAAAGGTGAAAGTTAACCATGAATGGATGGATGTTTCTTACTCTATTTCAAGATTTGAATGAAAATTCCTACACAGATAGATAATGTCCTAGATAAATACAAAGGATTTTTTTTAACCGATGCACTTGGGTAGCCTCTTATTCAGCTATAATTTACAATATTATTACAGCTCTTTGGTATGAGTATGTAGGGCATTTGGATAACTCTTGTGATTAACTTAACAAACATTAACTCTTGTTTCTTTAGCAGCCACAAGTTATGCAGAGTGAAAGCAGAATAATAAATGAGATGATAGAGGAAGAATTAATAATGTTATTAGTCAGAATGAAATAATTTTATTTATGATAGATATAGCACTAGGTGTTAATGTTACATTATTTTATAGACTAAGAGAAAAAAAATATAAATAGAAAGCTAAAGTATGGTAGTATGTGGGAGATCAGGAGTGTGCCACTAGCTGCTTGCTATTGGTCAGAACTAACATGTGATAAGTGCCATAAGCTGAAAATAAATATTTTTAGAAGAAGAGTAGTTTCTGGTCCGCCTCAAGTACATGACTAAGTTTACTTCTTTTATAGATAGTTGATTTATGATATATATGTTTAGACTATGTATAAGCTACCATAGACTGAGTCTGTTTATTTTATAGACCTAATTAAACTGTCTATTTCAGGTTGTGGAAAGTCTACGAACATTATTAAAATTTCATTTGGCCACATTTGAGCCGTCAATAAATGAAGTAAATGCAGACTACAAACTAAACTCTGATAATGTTCTCCTTTTGATTAGATATCCAAGGTAAAGATTCTGTTTTCAATATTTATTATTAATTATACCTAACCTTTATTACATGTATACAGTGAACACCATCCATGAATTATGGCTATGAAAGGCTACAGTAACCATCTACCATCTACCATCAGGGCTGTATGCATGTTTGCCACCACAATAGTATAAAAAAAAATAGCCACCACAATCAAAATTATTATATTAAAATATTAATATAATAAAATATGTTATCATTCTGTCTTATATAATAAATATTAAAAAAAAAGAACTAAAACACGAAATGAGAAATTAATTGCCATCCTTTTTTTTATGTTTGAAAATCTGTTGGGTTCTGACAACACCATGCAGAAGTGATTTTGTAATTTTACAATTTAAATATTATTTTATAAATGAACCACAATCTAGCATGTACCTACATGAATTTACATTACACACCTATTAGTATTTTATTTCTCATTCTCAGTCAATCACAGGCAGTCAAATTGTAATTCTACAAACCATTAATAATTTGCGTAACCCTCAGATACCTACTTCAGATGAAAAGTAAATTTGGGAGTGAAGCAGAGTTGCTGATAGAAGAGTTACTTCAACAGGCCACCTGCAGCGCTACTGTCCTTCTTGTCACAATTGCTAACAAGTATAAAGATGATAAGGTAAGTGTAATCATTATGCATTTTATTAGCTAAGTGTTTTATTGTATATAGGAATATGTGTGTATAGGATATATTACTATAGTTTACCAGTTTGCCTTCCTTATCATAGCATCTATTTTGAGAGTCAGCAACATGAGAATAAGCTATGGTAATTGTTTATCCTTAAAGGGGCCATATGTTTTATTACCACTACTGTGATATATAAAATGTATTAAAAAGTCCAAATAATTTAAAAAGTATTTTATTAAATTATAGCAATTATATAAAAGTTTACTTTACTTTTATAATTTATTAATAAAGTAGATATTTATTTAATTATCGAAAATTATAAACTTTTACCATTATACATACATACCAAACATTAGTAGGTTACAAAATATATTTATTATTACCAAATATATTTTTCAGGATAAAAATATAACAATGGTAAAGTTGAAAGATACATTCATAAGCCTAGCGACTGCGGGGTACATACAGCAGGCGCCGGTAGAAGAGGCCAAAGAAGGATGTGAAGTGCCAACACTGGTACCGGTGGCTACAATAGTTCCCGACTTTGAGATTAGAAATTTACTACAAGCCATGACTAAAAACATATCTGAAATTACTGACAGTAAGCATCATATTTGTGAAATACTATATTATAGGCAGTAATACTGAAACTAATAATAATTTAATTAATATAATTATTCAAATTCAAGAAGAGTCGGTTATAATATATATATATTTTAGCTTTATATCCTCATTATTACTAAAATATGTAAAATTAAGTAAAGCAGTAGAGGCTTTTTATTTTATTTTTTATTCATATTTATTTATTATATTTCAATCTATTTTTATATACATATTAAACTAAACATAAATCAGATTAATGCTTATTTGAATATACATGTTTTTTTATTCACTTACAGATGTATATTGGGAGGTGAATTATGACAGGTTTCATCTAGACTTCAGGGACGAAATAATGATCAAAGCCGTCACACGGCGTATTGATGAAAATGGTAATTTACTGTCAAATGTACTTGATTTAAAAATTTTAGTACGTATTTTTAACCAATTAATAATCTTCCAGCGGGTGAGCTATTGCTGCACCTACTTAGACTAATGTACTTGTCGTCGCCACCATGGGGAGCAGAATCGAACCCCACACCGGTGGTGGAGATACGTGAATGTTGCCAACGTGTCGCCGCCGAGCGACCCTTGTTGAACCAACATTTTGAACAGTATCTTAAGGTATTAGGTATGTGATTAATCCATAGTAATAATGTAATATTATACACACTATTTTCCATTGAAATTTAAGAAACACTTTAACACAAATTAATACATAACTGCTAGAAGCATTGCTCTATTTTCCTGTAATAAGTGATAGGAGGTAGTAACTATATTGATATTATTGTCTTATTGTAAAATATGTTACTATTGTATAACATACTGATATGTAATGTGACTATATTATAGTTTAAACACAACAGTTATTTTGTATGATTTTGTTTTACAAAAAAATAATGAATAGTAAGTATTAATGAATAAGTAATATTAAAATAATATAATATCACAATATGTATTTATTTTTTCACCTACGCGCGAGTCCTAAACCGAAAAGCGGCGTGTTAAAAGTTACCTCGACTTTTCTAGAATAAATATAATATTTAAAGATAATATTCGAAAAGTATTAAGAATCTTTGCTAAAGGTACGTAATTAAAAATACACATACAATTTGGTTAGTCTTTAACCTCACCACGTATCACTAAGGGGATTGAAAATGTTAAAAACGTTACGTGTATAATGGATGGCCTTTGTGATGGTGTACAGAAGAGAACGGCGCGGGGTTTATCCGTCGTAGCGGGGACGCGGGCGGCGGGCAGTTCCTGGTGCGAGTCCGGTTCGCCGCGCACCAGCTGCTGCGCTGCGTCGTCGAGCACTGCGTCACCGAACGACTCGGGTCCAACGCCGCCAGGATATTTAGGTACATTACCAGCTAACTTATTTACGTATTCACGCATATTTTCTCTTCTTTCAAATATGACAGTATAACATGGTGTTTTTCAAGTCTAGAGTAAATTGGCACTATTTTTTTTATGAATGATAACAGAAGTTTGCTCCCGCCTCCGCTAACGGTTTATGTTGACGGTAAACGCGGTTAAATTTCGTAATACAAAAATGTTATAAAAAATAGTTTAAAGATTTCAATAATTTGAATTCAGTGACAAACTCAAGTTTTGTAATGAATTATGTTTGTAACAACGAAATATTTCCGTATGTTTTTTTTATTATACGGCCTTAGCCCGAGTTTCGAACCCCCTAGCGGTGTGCTCAGACTAAAGTTGTATCCGTCAGGCAGGAGTTGACTTTCAGCGGGTTTGAAGTGCCATCTGCGCTCGCCCCCTATCGTTCGGTGAACCTGTAAAGCCAGCTCCGACCATCAGCATTAGAATAGTTCGAAAAAATGTCTAATGAATTTTCATTCTTATTCAAGGTTAATATATAGTAAAAAGTATATAGAGGAAGATGATATACAAAAGCACGCCATGTTACCGAACAAGGAATGTAAGGAGCTCACATATAAGTTGCTTGAAGAACACTTCATTAGCGTTCAGGTAATAGTTACTTGTAACAGCAAAGTATTGTATCCCTTATATGTTAGTATATTCAGACATCAAATAATAAAATTTAAACGGCCTCGGTGGTCTAGCGGTTTAGCACACCGCTTTATTTCCGATGGACGCGGATTCGATTCCCCGCATGGTGAAAACATTTGTATTCATGAGTATAGCTGTTTGCATCGGTCTGGGTGTTTTCTATATATATAATATATGTATTTACAAAAAAAATCTAAGTATTTATATCAGTTGTCTAGTACACATAGCAGAAGCCCTGCTTATCGTGGGACTGGATGGCGCTGTGTTAATTGACCAAGGTTATTTATTTATTATCAATAATTTTTTTTTGTCACATTTATAGGTATAGTCCACTTCATTTACATTCTAGTGTCAGATGGTTAATATTTTATTCAAATTCGGTGTTCGTGCAGACAAACATTTACGCATATTGCTAATGTGAAAGCAATGTATATTTCAAATTTAAATAAAGGAGTACGAAACCTTCCGTGTTTATTTAATAAAATTTTCAATAAGAGTGTTCTTCGATTTTGTTCAAACTATGACAAAATATTAAAAGTATTTTTGTATACTAAAATGACACAAAATTTATGTTGATTAAACTAAAGTCGATGTATTTTAAAGAGAAGAAGTATTTCATTCATTAATTTTTTACAATAGTTGAATAATATAATATTTTATATACCAATAGAATATATTAAATATTATATATAATGAAATATTATATACCAATAGAATCTTACAAGATATCATAATATAATAATATTATCTGTGCTATTGGTATGCAATAAAAACTATTTGTATTTAAATTATGAAATGTTTATTTTCAGCCAATGAGGAAAGCAGCGTCTGCGGGTGGACTGGCTAAAGCAATATATTTGTATCACATAAATTTACATGAGGTAAATAAAATTATATAATTTATTATACCTACTCAATATTATATATATCAATCTTTATAATGGTGATATATAGAGATCACATTAAATTCTAGAAAAATAATGTATTTTAATAAATGCTAAAAAGGCGTGTCAAATTTATACTATCTGTATCAGATTAAATTTTAGGTAGTGACGCTAAAAAGCCATTTTAACCTTTGAATTTTAATGAAGTCGTATAACAGCTAGCTCAACTTTTAAATTGATGTACGCACCGTAGATGAAATATATTTGCAATTTTTTTAAATATGGCAACAATAAAAAATTGTTAATAAATGATAATAATGTTTTTGTAGAGGAAAAACTTAACTTAAAATTCTAGTACTGACAATATTACCTGATTACACAAAGATTGAGGTCGTAGTGGTTTCTATGTCACGATTGACGCTTGCCTAATTCTTGTTAATGTGCATTTGTTTAGGACAACATTTATTTAAAAGAGCAACACAAGTTTTTGCTCCTTCTTCTTGTAATGAGTCACTTTTCTGAGTGAGTGGTAGAATAAAAAAATACTATTTAAAAATTATTAAACCAAGTTTATTTGAATAAAAAATATTTCTATTTCTGTTATTATTCAGGTAGCGAACACAATAAGGGAGCTATGTTACCGCTCTCTGCATAATTTGTGTCGGCGGGGCTCCCATGAGCGGCGCCTCCACGTGCGTCTCCTAGACAAACAGCGCCGGGTGCGCACCATTGTACACGGCATGCGCTTGCGTGGCGAGCCTCAAGAAAACATCGACGACGTTAGTAAAAAAGAATTTATATATTTTTTTATAATGAAATAGTACATTCGCTTGCGCTAACGGTTTAAAACCTGAAATGATTATGAAGTCAGGTCAGTTTTTCACATTTTGGCAAATGACAATTGATCATGATAGTCGCCAGGTGGAACCACGTGGAGGTCAACCTGATATGGTATGTTGCCAGTAATGGGGTCATGAATTACTAACAATCCCCTCCCCCCCCCTCATCCCCCCCCCCTCCCCCAACCCCACACCCCCATAGACTACAATTAAAAAAATATTATATATCATCATGTATAATAAATTTTACCAATTTTAAACAAAAGCTTATCGACTATACTTTTTTACAGGTAGAGGAAACCCTCACGCCGCCTGAGCTGGCCGTACTGAAAAACGTAGAAAAACGTCTAAAACAACTCAGCGCCGCAGAATTGGAGCTAGATCGAACGTTATTCATATTAAAATGGTATTTTATGTACCCATAATGAAATATACAGGTTATACTGGCTGTGACTTTAAAGCGACTCTTCTAGAAGACCGAGTTTTTGTTATGAACTTTTTTATTTGTGAATGTGGAAACAAACAACCAGCAAATGTTATAAAATACATCCAAATATACAGTGAATACTGTATATTTACTAGTGTATATATGCTGTTCATGGAGATTAGCGTGCACAACCACGTAGACAATTAACGATTTTATTCTAAAAACTCCTATTAAAAAAAGAGAATGTACGGTTCGATTACATTTTTTTATGTATGTTGTTAATATTTTATATATTAAAGTCTCATTTATGTAGTGTTAAACATGTATTTAATTAACTTTGTCATATTTCTACCTTACGGTAATCTGTAATATTTGTAAGTATCAAATAAAACGCAGAATACATTCTTAAAATTTTATTTGACCCCATTGAAACTCAATAGTCATTCAAACAATTTACAACCTATTAGTGTCGATCGAATAATGTATTAATTATAAAATAATATCAATTATCTATACACAAAATATTCTATGACACAAAATGATAATACTAAAAATATATGTATGTTATTAAAATGTCAACACAATTAGATTTACAATGTAAAATCATGATGATAATTACGAGTATCTAAACGATTTATATAGTTATTTTTAATAAAAATAAATAAAATCACAATCAAATATATAACAGATCTACACCTGGCGTTAATGATGAAATAATTAGAAAATGTCAATTAATCAACATCATTATAATCATTAATGAATATTAACAAGTATATAGTTTATGTACGTAGTTAAACACCTGTTATACAGTGACACCTAATATTTATTTAGTACAGAGACCGTTGCATGAGCGATAATATTATTAAATTTGATGAAACTCAAACACAACTACGAATAATAAATCATAGATCGACATATCTAGTTCTGTTGAACTTGTGACTTCCTGCCAGTCTCTAGAATCTAATTCCACTTTAATGACATTGTATTACGCCACCGAATACCTTTTTATGCTCGATAATTATACAATAGCAAAGTATTTTTCCTTAATTAGTGGTCATTGAAAGACATCTGACAATGTTATGTATTTATTCGGTTATATATTTATATATTATTTAATCTCGATTATATTTCGAAAGATCAATAAAAAACATGGGTTGAAATGAATTTCATAGTCATTAGATTTCGTCGTTAAGCTGATCAGTAAAATATGTCAATATATGTATATATATATTGTTTTGATTGAATATTCATATAAATATTTTTTTCCCGTAAAACTTCATCCCTTACACTATCTTATAGCATTGAAAGCTACTATTTAGATTCTTTTAGATGTCAAGTACCTACAAGGCAATTCTTCTTCATTTCTTCGTTGGATTTAAATGATTTATTATTAGATTTACGTGACTATATTAACCACATAAAATACGAAGTTAATAATTTCAAATATTTGTCTATAAATTATATTAAGAATTTTCTTTATTGACCTCAATTTGCCGATTTGTTAATCTAAAATGTTCTTACAATCCCGAGATTTTTATTCTTAAATCTGTAAAAGTTTCGAATTCTTTTCCGTAATACATTGGAAATATAGAAATATTTCTTGACTAAGCGCTTGATAAATTGAAAATGATTTATTTTACCATCATTTATTTATTTTTAGTAGTTTTGTCAAAGAACTTCATTATTTTACCTCTAAGTTACCATGTTACACAATAATGTAATAATGCGCAGTACTATTAAATAAGAGTAGACCATCCATGAGTATGTCATCCCAATTTTTTTGTCACCCTATGCTACATTTGTGCTCAGTCGTTGATATGACTTAAGTCTTGAAAAACTACAACCTGAAATCAACCATGTTAAATATAATTTCTTTTATAGCCTTATTTTAATACGTGTCACTGTCTCTGTGCACGGCTAGGTGAAGGCCTCCACTACAATACCAATTAGACATCATTAAATGTAGTACAATAATCAGGAAGTCACTTTACTTACATTTGTGTCAGATATTTTTCAAGTTAAAGTTCGATTTATATATCTATAGTTGTGTATATTTATATATAGCAATAAAAATTGCAATGTTTAGTATTTTTAAAATTGTTAAATTTTCCAAGAAAGCATGTCATACAGGAAATTTAGTATTTCTTTTGAACTTTTGATACAGAATGATTGAGATTATAAGGACACATACACTTTGTATGAAATGTTGAAATAATCACATTTATTTGCGACTTGCATTCGGTATCTGTACACAAGCATTGAATATTTATATACAATTTTAAAATAAATATAAATTCATTACAAGTCGCAAATGTTATACGCTATTGTCGTGTGCAGTTCACGCAACGGTCATAGATATCCACTTCAAGCTAGTTATAGACTATTTAATTCGTCTAAATGAAAAAGTTTTATTGAATATTTACACATTGGTATCCAAAGCTTGATGTTCCTCGCCGCAGAATTTCGTGTCGCTTAATTCCATTTTATTCACAATACTTTTAGTAGGTAGTAGTTTGGTAGGGCTATCTTCTCGCTCAATTCTCTTACTACATCAGCGAAAAGATAACCCCGAAAATACGTTTTCCGTTAACATAGATTAGTGAAAACTGCATCTTATGACTCACAATATAACACAAGTCCCCAGTCGACAAAAAGTATGCTTGGTTTGTTTTTCGACTGCGTAGCTTTTGGTAGTGGGGTCACGAACAGTAATTTCTTACCTTGTCACAATAACTTTGATAAGTAATTACTAAATGTGTTTGAATTTGCCAATATTGTCACTGTAACAAATTTCCACAGTCTCGACATATTATTGCACGTGATTATTAAAATTAAAATTTCTTGGGATCTCAATGAGTTATTAATATATATTAACGTGCTAGAAGAGACGCTACACTTGCCACAGTAGTCAGTTTTGTGGCATAATCACTTCAGTTCCTTTTTAGATTTCCCAGACGCTCGAATATCACAAAATCAGTATTCTGTCTATAAGATATACTGTGGCGTGTATGATTACCACTGCTAAAATAAATAATTAAATAAATGAAATATAAGGCAGTTGCATTCATGTGATTTTCATTTGAAAATTGTATATGTGGCTCATATGCAGCGTCTTCTCTAGCAGTTTATTACTTCAATGGTCGGTCATATGATGTCGACGGCATTAGCAACATACATTAGCGGCATACAAACCCGGTTCAGAGACACTCATTCCTTCGCTTTGGTTAATTCAAAGAGCTATTCTATAGAAATATTAAAATACAGTGAAGACATCGATCTATCTGGCCTACGATATCACCTTAACGCGAACAAATCGACCTACCATTAGTTCAGACTATACATACTTGAGAAGTTTACAAAAGCTTCTATTTATTGATTAAATGTTATATTATTTTAATCTCAATCAAAGTTGTCTAAAGCGACATTTAATATGAGTATATACAAAGGGACTTCACTCGCTTTTCTCGTTCTATTCACATAATAAGTAATAAATTAAAAGAAAATGAAGCATTGCAAGCGGTACGTGGGAAAAAGCGAAACAAAAATAAAACATGAAAATAATTTGCATTAATTTTATTTATAAACTAGGTATTTTACACAACTTAACAAAATACATACATACAGCAACTAAATAGAGCAACCAAATATAAATCATTCATACGGAGTAGTTACGTTCCATTGAGATACAATACACGACCGCATCATCGGCCCCTTACAGTACTCCCAAATACGATGAATGGCAAGATTCTCACAATCAGTCGAGTTCTGCCTTGTAATACAACCACAGGGAACTACATACTATACAGAGTGTAAACTTGGAAAGTGATATTGGTCGACGTGATTATAAGAACATGAAGAACATGAAAAATATAAACCTAGTGATGTCGACAGTCCTAATCATAATTACGTTGCTATGTAACGGTTTAAGCTTTCAGAGTGAGCACTGGCTGAAAGCTTTCACTCTGTATATGTACTGCTCTGTGTTACAAGACCGAAACAGTTGGAGCACCAGCCGATGTAATGCACGAGTCGTTTGATATTTCTCTTAATACTGTTAGAAATGTGAACTATATCACTGAACATAAAATCCATGGAGTAAATAAATTTTATTTGTACTATCTCTAAATATTTCGTGCCACAACAAAAAAATTGTTAGCGGCAACTCCGTAACTTTTGGATGACCTCATAAAATTACAACAAAAATATCCACAGTCATTCATCCTAAAGCCAATAAACGAAATATTTTATCGCTACGATATAAAATGCCAAATGAAATTTATAAATTAGGCTTTCTATGTGTGATGTAAAAATAACAATATAAAATAAAAAGATCTATGTTATAATATTTACAGAAGGGTCGGGGTTGTGGTAACGCTGTAGATATTGTAGTGTAATTGAGTTTGCATTGGATTCGAGTCGAAGCCGCGTCATGCGTCATACAGCAAATAAATTCGTAGGTACTGTGCACTCTCCCTTCTTACAGGCGTATACGTACAGAATTGTAAGCGAGACTTGTAAATTTACAGAATTACACTAGTGCGTTAAAACTAAAATTTATCCAGCCTCCAATTCACATCAGACAGTCGCCGTGTTCATGGAATAGTAATCATTCCATCTTATTTTCCGTTATAATTCCATTACGATTACAGACTACATCTAGCGCAGTAAATAGCATTTTTAAATAATAAAATATAAAAAAAAGATCCCAATATATTGCAAGAACTTATCACAAAACAATAGCCCCGAAAACGTGTCCTTATTAAATTATCAAATTTAACATACTATTTACAGCAAATCAGAGCGGTTTGCACTCCTTTCGTTTTCACTACTTAATTTGTCATTTTAAATTTTATAAATATCTCCATAGTAACGTTATATAAATTCATATGATGGCCTAAATTATAATACTAAGGATTTGTAGTCGCCGTGAGACGGGCGGGAGTTTAGCTATCACGTTGGACTACGGCCTGTTGTCACGTGATCACGTCTTAACCACGCCCCCACACGGCGACGTCACGCCACGTACCTATCTCGTCTTATCCCGAATACCTACTAATTTAACATCTCGGCAGCATGGTTCCTATTGATCTAGGTATATAACTTACGCGGTGAGTTATACAATGTCGCTTATAAAGCTATTCAGAATTACCAAATGATACAGTGACGACGAGTATCTATAGAAGTCTTGCGATATTTTCAAACAAAGCGGTCGACTTAGTGTGCGTTTTACATTTGAAATTTTTATACAATTATGTGCAATTTCATGATAATAAAAATTGACATTAAATTAGTTATTGATTCTACACCATAGACATAATAATGTAAGGATGTCGGATCCAATACAAAATCACAAAAAAAACCTACCGAGTTGTCGTATATAAACGTACCTATTCATTTGGCTTATAGGTAGTGGACTTTTTGCGTTTTCGGGGACTTCTATTAGTATTTGAGCGCAGACCCAAATCCTTCGATTATTATGTCGATGTTCTACAATTTTAATTTTCGTCTAATTCGATTTGCGATCATTATTTAAAAACATCACAAGGTGTCGCTGGTGGGCGCCTGTTTCCAAATCTACATCACTGAACACATTGAGTCCGTATCGGCCGGTCGGCTGTCTCACTCACTCCCCCCAGTGCGCATATTTCCGTCTTATTCACGCCACGAGGTAAGGTATTACAATATGCAGCAAGACGCTGAACAACAACTGCTGGAGCCGCCTTTACTCTTTTGTCGTTGATCTGAAATAGAAATAAACATAATCTTTATTCAAATACTAATTTCTATTAGCTACTTTACCCCATAATAAAATAGCACACGACATAATGCTATGAAAATAGTTAAAGTAGACAAGTTTAGCTGTTGCCACGTCTGTTATTTGTCTAACTAACTCTAATCGTGAATTTAGAAATATGGCAACCCATTGCAATTTGGGGGAAAATAAAAATAATAAATCATGGTCATCTTGACGCTATTATTTATAAAACTCTTATTCTTTTAAGTAATTAAAAAAACAAATCCGTTTCTTGTTCCGTCGTTTTGTTTCGCCTCGTTTCCTATTTGTTAGTCACACAATAGTATCATAGATTCTCTTGCCAAAAATATAGACTCTAAAAAGGAAAAACAACTATATAAACTACAAAAATATCAATGAATTCAACAAAAAATGGTAGTAAGACCATTTTAGTTGAATTCATTGATATTTCATTACAGTCTATATATGAAGTTTTGTATTACATACTAAACATTGTTTTGATTTACAATAATTAATAAAATTATATAGGTATAAACTCATAATCTAGTAACAAACATAATTTAAATTTAAAATATACATTAAACGGGAAGGAAATATGTACCACAAACTCCCACATACATTGATATTCAAATTGGGAACAATATTTTAGTACACAATATAGAAATTAAAATTAATTAAATTAATATAGAGTTTTTACGTAGTTTTTTTTATATGTAGGTTGCACCGATTTATCTGGGAACGCAGATTACAGAACAGATCATTGTATTTGATGAACATATTAGAACAATGACGGGATTTCATATGCCTATTATACTAATGTTCTTTTTTCGTTAAAAAATATAATCAAATATATTTTTGTGGGGTCGTGATGAGGCCTACCTGCCCTGCTATAAATTATAGACCTATATCTATACTCCCAGCACTCAGTAAAATTTTTGAAAAAATAATCCTTATGCAGCTTGTCAGTTATGTCAATTTAAATAAGTTAATCCACAATAGTCAATTCGGTTTTTCCAAAGGTCGTTCAACTACAGACGCAGGTGCAGAGTTGCTTAGACACGTATTTGCTGCATGGGAAACTAAAATGGATGCGATAGGTGTTTTTTGTGATCTTTCTAAGGCTTTTGATTGCGTTGATCATAATACATTGCTAAAAAAACTTGCTTTTTATGGCGTCAAAGACAATGCTTTAAATTTAATAAAATCTTATCTATCTGATAGAATACAGAAAGTGAAGGTTAGCAACGCTACGTCTGACGGGTCACTTGTGCAAATGGTTGTACCTCAAGGATCTATTCTCGGTCCATTTTTATTCCTAGTTTACATTAATGATCTCCCATATGCCATGCAGGATAGATGCGGCATAGTATTATTATATACAGACGATACTTCATTGATTTTTAAAGTTAATAGAATGACTAATAATTATGACGATGTAAATAGTGCTTTGCGGCGTCTCCTGCACTGGTTTACAACTAACAATCTTATGTTAAACGCGAAAAAAACAAAATGTGTTAATTTCTCTCTGTCTAAAAGTTTTAATACTAATTGCAATATTAAATTAAATGACGAATCTCTGGAATTTATAGAATCTACTGTCTTTCTAGGAATTACACTAGATAATAAAACACAATGGGGTGCACAAATTCAAAGCCTTGCAGCGAAACTAAGTTCAGCAGCTTTTGCCGTGCGTAAGGTTAGACAGTACACTGATACTGATACTGCTAGATTAGTCTATTTTAGTTATTTTCATAGTTTACTCTCTTATGGAATATTACTATGGGGAAAAGCGGCAGATATTAAAAATATATTCATATTACAAAAACGTGCCGTTCGAGCGATCTACTGTATGAAGAGTCGTGACTCATTAAGAGAGAAATTCAAAGAGGCAAATATTCTCACCGTTGCTTCTCAATTTATATATTCAAATATCCTATATGTTCATAAAAATCTTGACTTATTTCCAAAAAACAGCAATATTCATAATATTAATACAAGATTTAAAGACAAACTTGCTGTCCCCAAGTATCGTTTAGAAAAAGTTAATAGGTCTTTTATGGGAATAGGTATAAAAATTTACAATAAGATACCAAAGGATATGTTGGAATTACCCTTAAATAAATTCAAAACATCTGTTAAATCATATTTACTGAGCAAAGCCTATTACTCACTAAACGATTACTTGAATGACGAGTGTGCATGGCAATAGTTGTTCATGCACTGAATTTTCATTTAATGTTAGACATAGACACCTATATAAATATACATTGTAAATAAACTGGCTTTAAAAAAAAAAGTAATTCAATTGAGTTTCTTGCCAGTTCTTCTCAATTGGATCTATATACCGAACTGGACGGTAGGGAAAAAAATAAAATTATAATGTAAAAATTTGACGTTCATAAGCGGCTAAAATGTCCTACATGAATAAATGATTTTTGAATTTGAATTTGAATTTGAGGAAGAAAGAGGAAGTGGAGAGGTAGCGAGAAATCTCCCTACTGCTCATTCGATCCGGCGGAAACGTGTCAGGCGTAGGAGGGGTATGAGTCAAGACCCTTACATTAACATTAACAAATTATAATTGAAGAAATGTTAATAAATTAAATTATAATACTTTAACTTACTAGAGGTAGTCAGGTGGAAGGATAGGATAGGTGGGTGCTGGGATTAGGCTAATGTTAACTCCACCGAACTTCTGCAAAGCAATCATTATTTTAAGACAAAAATCTCTAAAAATTAAGGTATTTGCTTTTTTGATGTAACTAAACTAATGTCATAATACATATAATAATTAGAACAACTCTTTCCAATAAAGACTATTCACTTTTAAATGTAATGTCACAAAATGTAGGACTTCTACTACGAAGTGTTCTAGATTTTATGATTTTTTCAATATCACACTTTGTCCAGGCGTCCTCTTCACAGTTACCGTGTGACATGCATTGCATAGTATGCAGGTCCATAGATAGTTTTTTAGGACTACTCTAATGCTGTAGGCCGTAGAAGGCCTATACCGTTTCACCGGACTGCAAGTGGCGAGTGCAGATGGCATTCTAAACCCGCGGAAGGATCTATAGAGTAGCTGAAGGATAACTCCTGCCTAACGGTTACAACATGGCCAGTGTGTATGCTATGGTATTTTCTGTTTGTGTTTCAGTGTGTATACATACCGTGGGAGTTGGGCTCGGGTAGGTGTTCGCGGGGCACGAGGTGCATGACGGTGGTGCGGCCGAGCTGCAGCCCGAGGGCGCCGAGCGTCACCGAGCTGTGCAGGAACCGACCCTGGTATATCAGCCGCAGGATCTCGGCGCGTGACACGCATTCCGTCGCCCAGTCCGCTGGAAACACGTAAATATTTTATTAGGTATTTGTTTATTCCGACTATACACGGCAGTACATACGGATATAGATAGTTACACTACATATATGTATTAGGGCGAAAAGAGCATTGTTACTGGTCATCCTGACATGAACTGTTACGTTGACCAGTCATTAGCAATGTCAGGTTGACCAGTCATCAGTCCTCAGTCCTCCAAGCAGTTCCTCCTTTAAACCATCGTGATAAATTACTGGTGAATTTGTCGTATTGACTAACTGACTTAGTTTCATTTTCTTTTTAACCTGGTGCCCTACCGGCGTAAACCGTCAGTACAGACGGATGCATTCCTTTATCATCAATAAAAAACTATGTATATGCATTAATTATAGTCATATACACATAAACTTTGTACAAGAAGTTTTCCAAACAATCATTATTACTATATTAAAATGTCTATTGCGTTTAGTACTAAAATGTCATACCTCCTATATATCCTTTAATTTTACTGCCTTATCTCATCCTACAACCGAAACAATTGTATAAAAAAACACAGCTTGCAAAGTGAGTTGCTTGGCGGCTGTACGTAGACGACTTGTTACTAATTCTACATCGGTAAAATTGTACAATTAAATTTAATTACAAAGTGTCTACACTGCAAAAGTGATACACTAGCAAAGTGTTAATAAAAAAAGTGTAAAAGATATACAATCCAATGATATAGTATCGGAATAAGTTCCGGAAAAGACGATCAATTGTTCTACTCTATTCGGTGTCAGTAGTGTCTGTAATATATGTACTTCATTGCTTTAGTTATATAAAAAAACATGTCTTAATTTTATTTTTATAGTTTTTATTCATCACAATATCACAAACCTGTAAAAATCTACTATTGTTTGAGAAGTACCACAGATCTGTTATTATATTCGGATGCTATTTACTCATTTGACAGTCCATATGGGAAATCACAAAAAATACTTATTATAAATCGTATTTTCATTTTTATTCAAATGCCGCCAACAGTGTCGTAACCACAAAAACAATTATTTTTGTTATTACATACTTACATTATAATTTAGTCTGCAAGATATATATGTATATTATATTGGCCATAAGGTTGTTCGAAATAAACAAATAATTAAAAATACGATGTAAAAAACAGTTATTAATTCAACGTACACAAAATATTTCTAACTGTAATTGCATCACAATAAAAAAAATTTGAGAGAATAATAAAAAGTAAAACAATATTATAACAGAAATAACAAAATACTAAAGTAAAATAATAAAAAGTTTAAAAAAAGAATACGATGCCCCCAGAGAGATTTGAACTCTCGACCCCTGGTTTACAAGACCAGTGCTCTAACCCCTGAGCTATGGAGGCTTACGACAGAGTTGTCGTAAATATGTATTGCCATCGACGGCGCATCGTTTACACACACTACTATATACAACTACATAGACACGTTATACTAGTGTATAACCAACTCTTATTTCTGTGCATAGATGGCGCTAGTTATATGGGAGTTAATAATTTCCTAATTATAGATTAAGTATTATCTAATATACTTTTATATTATTTACAAAAGCACAGTTTAATTAAAATACAGTATTAAATGTACATTGTTTATGTTATTTATAAAACTTGATTATTTTTTATCAGAGGATGGTGGGCGACACTATATAGTTAATCAACCCAAATAATATATTAAAACAATATGTTATTGTATGACGTATACAAAATCAGTATATATATATATATATATATATATAAATAATTACATTTATAAAAAAAATGTTATCACATCACCGAGCAGGTGTTTCTAAACAACAATTCAAGCTGGAATAGTCTATCGGTGGCTATCACAAGATTTGTGGGGAATATATTGCGTGATTCCGTTACATAGAGCACACACTACTTACAAAAGGTATTAAGTACAAAGTTGTTAAATATGCTCTATTCCTATACGGTAAGGGTGCGAATCGTCCATTAGAATATTTTATAGGGCAAGCACTATCGTGAAGTAACGTGGCGCGGCGCAGTGAGCTTGTACACAAACTAGTAAATCAGCGAGCAACCGCTAGACGGCAGCACTGCCCTGCCGTAACTTCAACTGAACATAAAATACGAGGACAATAATTTTGGTGGAAACTCGGCATCGCTGCACTCGGTGTAATTCGATTTTAATTCTCGTGTATCTACGTTATTTATTATTTGAGTTTACATTGCAAATTAGTTTTTATCTGCACCCTATTGGATATCTGTTGGCCTTTATTTGTGAGGAAGTGTAGTACTTTATTCAACTCCAATGACATATACTTCCATATTACTATATGACTAAATGACCTAGACCGCTGTCTGTTCGCTTAAATATTTTATAGTATTTAATGCAGTTTAAAAAAATAGATAGAATGATTAAGAGAAAGGTTTATGTAACATGTGCACCCGTACGAAGCCGGGTAGCTAGTACTACTATAAATTAGAGATACCAACAATAGCACATATATTTTTTAATTCACTTTTTATTATGCACATTTTTTATAAGTTTATATTCTATATTCGGCCGAATAATGAATATTAAAAAATAGACGAATAGGTCAATACCGAATAGAAGCTGAATATTCCTGGTATCTCTACTAGTATAAAATTTGAATAGTGTTAATACCACCATCTATCATATGTATCATATGTAGGAGGATTTGGTAAGGGAAATTTGTTTATAGCCTTTTAAATAAATTAACCACTAATTTTCCTTCCCTGTCATAAATCTGTTAATATTGACGGTCTCGGTGGTCTAGCGGTTTAGAATACAGCTTTACTTCCGTCGCGGTTTCGATTCCTCGCCCGGCGTAAACAACTGTATTCATGAGTGTTTGTTTGTATAGGTCTGGGTCTTTCCTGAGTACCTATATTATTTTTATATTTACAAAATAAATGTATATACGTACTTCTATCATTTAACCCATAACACAAGCTCTGCTTAGTTTGGGCTTAGATGGCGCTGTGTGAATTGTCCACAATTATATTATTATTATTATTTATGGTGAAGTGTAAGCACTGCAGTTATTTAGCAATGATATTGATAGAAACCAAAGAGGTCGGGGGTTTTTTAAGGGTAATAATGGAATGATACCTGTGCTATCGGTTTACGTTGAAGGGACACCAGTGGAGGATCATAATGAAATGAGTATGTAGTTAGAACAGTTAGCTCATGATGGCAATTTGACCAGCAATTTATCATGATGGTTTCCAAGGGGAATCGCGAGGAGGTCAACCTGATGTGGTATATTGCTAGCAAAGAGGTTATAAGTCCACATTACTAACAATTCCCTTTCGCCCCCGAAGTCGGGGTTGCATATTCGTATGTCCTTACTCTAGATTCGAGCAGGTCAGAAACTTAACCCCTTTTTAGCTATTCTAATTCAGTTGGGCATAGTTGACCTTTACAACTTTATTAGACGATAATGGAGTCGAATGAAAGCTCTCCAAATACGCTGAAGGACTTATGGAGCGGCTGAAGGCCCAGTGCACCGCTAGGAGTCGCTTAGACCGTTGTAAATTCTATCTCTCTTGAAATGGAACAGGAAATCGATCGAATGGGAACGTAACTTACTAATTACAATGATATATAAAGATGATATCGCGGATATCTGAGGTGCGGTCGGCGAATGTTACACCATTACTGACCTCGGCCAACGTTACGTGGCTAACGAGGGCGTATTACACCTTAATGGCTTTTTTCACACCACGTCGACCGTGTTATCACCACAAGAGTGCAATACATAGCGTGTTTATACTATACTATTATGATTATAAACACTGATAATAGTTTATACAAGGTCTTCCTTTAACATGGAATAAGTGCTAATGAAATGATGATTTGTTTGCTAAATATTGATACAGTATGTTGCTAAGAAAAGTCGTTATATTTATAATCTATACATTCATTCATGAAGTAAAAACTTTCTACCCCTTTTTACGAATATCGGGCGGTCGCTGAGCTGTGCCCGCGGTTTTACCCGCGTGAAATGTATAGCCTATATGTTATTCTGATGTATAAAGCTACTGTAAAGTTTTATTAAAATTCGTTCAGTAGATTTTGCGTGAAAAAGTAACAAACATCTATCCATACTCACAAACTTTCGCGTTTATAATATTAATAAGATATAGAGGAGTGCAGAACGATAATATTTTTGTTTTTAAATTATGCGTAAAATACATTAAATCAATAAACAGACATTATATTCACTACCATGTATTTGACACACATATGCAAATACTGTTTTGGTTATTGTTAAAGTCTGTGGTCAAATTGAGAATAATGATAATATTGTTTGTCTATAGTCTTACTGTATGTGAAACATAACCATAATAAATTCAGTAATTAATTATGGTCTAATTTCGATCATTGGTCGACCACTAGTTATATTAGTCAGTCAAAAATATAAATTATTACATCAACTTTTTCATATCGACCAGATTCGACCTTTGGGGTCACACGTCAGGGTAGTGAATCACTAGGTCACGACGCTCCCGGTTTTAAAGTGGATTGTTAATATAAACAACTCTATAATAATTGGAGCTCAGTCAGAGCGAATATTGCCAAACATATGTGCGCTTCTGTAATATAACAACCCACTGTGCCAGACTTTCGGGTATTTGTCTAAAAATAAATCGAACTAAATACTAGCGTATTACAGTATACAGGAATTTGTTCAGCGCATACTGTATAGTTAAGGAAAATTTGTCTAATAAACGTCGTATTTAAAAAATATATGGTTTTTTATTCTATCCATATCTATACCAATATTATCAATGGGAAAGTGTGTCTGTCTGTCGTTTTAATACATTTTCGCGTTTAAACAATGAACGGATATCTATAAAATTTGTCATGAAAATAAGATCGCCTCATGAGGTCGAGCTGTAGTGTTTTTTTTTGTATTAGGAGTTTTCTATGTATATTATAGTAAATATAAAAAATATATATTCAAGTATTTCTATCAGTTATCTAGTACCTATAA